CTTTAACACCCCCACCTCCTCCCCCCAGAGGCTCAGCTCTGTCCTGAGGCTAAGCTCCGGCTTCAGACTTCACCTTTAGTATGTTGTTTAAAGAGTTAGAGTGCTTCTTTTCCACCAAGGCACCAAATGATGCGTCAGAATGAAGGCCAGAAGGTCAAGTTTGGCACAGCCTCTTTTCGTGTTTCTGCATTTAGCTAATAGCTCAGTCAGTGGTCAGAGATGGTTCTCAGAAGCTTTCTGATGTCAGGGTTTCACTCTGCGCTCTTTAACACCTTCTCCCCCCTGAGGCTCAGCTCTGGCCTGAAGGACTCCTCTGTCCTGAGGCCCAGCTCCGGCTTCAGACTCCACCTTCAGTGTTTAGTTTAAAGAGTTAAAGTGCTTCTTTTCCAATAAGGCACCAAATGATGCGTCAGAATGAAGGCCAGAAGGTCAAGTTGGGCACAGCTTCTATTCGTGTTTCTACTTTCCAGTTAGCATCAAACCTAATAGCTCAGTCAGTGTTCAGAGATGGTTCTCTCAGATCTCAGAAGCTTTCTGATGTCAGGGTTTCACGCTGTGCTCTTTAACACCCCCACCCCCCTCCCCCCAGAGGCTCAGCTCTGTCCTGAAGGACTGCTCCGGCTTCAGACTTCACCTTTAGTGTGTTGTTTAAAGAGTTAAAGTGCTTCTTTTCCGCTAAGGCACCAAATGATGTGTCAGAATGAAGGCCAGAAGGTCAAGTTTGGCACAGCTTCTGTTCGTGTTTCTGAATTTAGCTTTTATCTGAAGCTACTTTCGAGTTAGCATCAAACCTAATAGCTCAGTTAGTGTTCAGAGATGGTTCTCTCAGATCTCAGAAGCTTTCTGATGTCAGGGTTTCACTCTGTGCTCTTTACCCCCCCTCTTTATCTGCAGGACCTCCGGGACCCCCTGTTGGACCAGTGAAGTTCACCGAGGTGTTTGCGGAGAGGATCGGCCTGGCCTGGAACCCTCCCACAGACGACGGCGGCTCCAAGATCACCAACTACGTCATTGAGAAGCGGGAAGAGAACCGGAAGTCCTGGGTCCACGTCTCCAATGACCCCAAAGAGTGCGCCTACGTGGTGACCAGGCTCACCGAGAACCACGAGTACGAGTTCAGGGTCATGGC